CCCTGCCTGTGCACCCCTGCCTGTGCATCCCCTGCCTGTGCATCCCTGCCTGTGCACCCCTGCCTGTGCACCCCTGCCTGTGCATCCCTGCCTGTGCATCCCTGCCTGTGCGCCCCTTGCCTGTGCACCCTTGGCCTGTGGTCTTATAAGAAGAGGTTCTCCTAGATCACAGAACCCTGAAACCCATTCACAGGCTTCTACCCAGGGCTGGAAGAACTTGTTTTGTTTTGGTAGGTCTGGGAATGGAACCCGGGATGGTAAATATTGATTGCTCATTTCTTAGTCTCTAGAATGAATCCTAAAGACCAACTGCCAGGCTCATCCATGAGGGAACCTCTAGGCTGGGTCAACCTGAATGAGTGGCACCACCCCATGGGTAGGGGAACAGAGCTGAGCAAAACGGAGAGAGTGAGGTGGGCACCAGCAGTGGGGTGGGGGGCTGGCACCTCTGAGCTTGCTGTGTGTACCAACACTCAAATTTCTCTCAGCTTTCTCGCCATGGGTAGGAAGAGAGCAGCTTCTTCAGGTTCACACTTGTATGGCTTTCCCGCCATTGTGGGGAGCACACCCAAACACTCCCAAATTAGCTGTTCCTTCTTTAAGTGGTCTTTGTCAGAATTTGATCTCAGCAACAGTAAAGGAGACTAACATAGAACCCAGGTCCCCATGCACGCTCTCAGGGCAAGCCCTCAGCACGGAGCCACAGCTAAGCCCAGGATCTGCTTTTGATTGGCACTGTGGCTGCTTCAGATAAGAGCAGGAGGGACTTCCCAGCCGGGTGGGAGGATGGCACCAAGTTATAGCAAGGCCGGGAGGAGTGCCTAAGAACAAGGATTCACCCCACATTCCCCAGGCAGGGGGCTGACGGTGATGGCAGGTAGCTGGGGTGGGTGTTAAGGAAGGTCGTGTTTCCTTAACCCCCCTTCCAGCTGTATCCTGAGATACCCTGGGGATTCTCAACTGTTTAAATTCTCCCTCCATCTTCAGTGGCCTGAGAGCATGGCGAATTCTATGTCTGTATCATAAACAAGAACTTTTTAAAAACCAGATTTGGATTAAATCAGTTTCTTTTTTTTTTTGTTTATATGTGTGTGTGTGTGTGTGTGTGTGTGTGTGTGAGCATGCTTCTATGCTAGGGAGTGGAACCCATGCTGGGCAGGATCCTTCGTAGAGTCCTAAATCTGACTTTTACGTGAGAAAATCTCTAGGTTCTCTCTTACTATCTCAAGGAGGGTTATATTTCCTCCCTGGGCTCAGAGTGGGCTGGGTGGGAGTGGACATCATTTTGCTTCACTTCAACAGACACCGCATCGCCCTCAGAGGATCCACCCGGGCAATAGAGTCCAGGTGGCGCTACCCCAACCTCCCCTTGCCCCCATAGGCCTGCAGCTCCCATTCCACTCACCAGTCTGCTGCCTCCTCTGCCGTCTTCCTCCCTGTCGCTGCTAGCGCTTTGAGCCTGCAGATCGTGAACACAGGATGGTCAAGGCGCAGTTGTTTTTTTTTTTTTTTCCCTTGGAAGGAGTGAGTCCCAGTAGTGCAGTGGCTGCTCGTCCACACTGTGTCCTACCAGGGCCAAGCTGCTGGACTTCCCGACAGGTACCCAGGAGACTCCGTGACTCGTGCCACAACCCCCACTTACTTTCCTCCCATGGCTTGACCTCTTCTTCCTGGGCCCTCAGAGTCTTAGCACTCAAAACCTGACCTCTGCCCTCTCTCTGCACCCTGCTATTCTGCAACAAGGCCAATCCTGTCTACTTGTGCCTGCTAAGTCAGCTGAGATAGGCTGTGCTTCCCGGACACAGGCAGCCCCACCCCAATGGCTCAGTAGGAAGTATCCCTTACCCAACCACTGGGCAGACTGGTCCACATCCCTCTCCTGGGTCCCCCACTCTCAAATGCTCAGGGCTGCTTTCCTCATGGCTCCATGTGTCTTATTCATTCTGGGACCTGGGATGTAAATACGTCGACTTGCATTTGGCTGAGCTGGGCCAAACAGACCGGAGTGGGCCACAGACCCCACAACCATTGGCTGACACAGTGGTCCCCACTGGAACCTAAGGCAGTGCTGCCCAGCACTCCAGCTCTTTGTGTGAAGAGCAGCGAGGATGTAGCCACCCGGAGGGACCATGCCAGAGAGGCCATGCCGTTAGCCCTACTCTGAGCCCGACTAAGCGGTCTAAGACACAGGTGTCTGTTGTTCGAGCTAGCAGGGATTTTGAGCAGTAAAACAGAGTGGGTCTGGGAGGCGTTGGGAGCCAGCTCCTGATCTAGGCTGGCTACAGGCTATTCTTTAGACCTTGATGATCTCATCTGCAGTGGGACGGTGAGCATTTGACTGATGGCTTCCTGACGGGCTGGGTTCTGTTCCCCATTTTAGTGGCAACAAAGCCCTCCTTATATTGGGAGCAGAAGAGACTAGCTTCAATACCACGTCCTCCACAGTGGTCAGGGTCTTTTTATGGCATTTGAAGGAGCGCTTGGCTCACCCCCAGCCCTGGGCTCCCTGAAGCACACTTCCTATGTGTGTCTCCCTGGAGATAAGGACTACAGCTAAGAAGCAGGTGTGCAGTGGATGATGTAACCACGGTCAGCAGCATCTCTGCCCTCTCTGAGCCTGGGGACTTGGACGAGCGAGGTGGTGCTGAGCCTGCTGTCCCTGGAATTGCTCCCTCATTCTCTTTGGTCGCTGGACATTCCAGACACTTTCCCTAGAGACAAATGGCTTTCTCTCGGCTGCTTAGAAACTCAAATGGAAGTTCTCTCAGGGGTCCCAGCCATGGAGGCTCATATCAAATTCCTTGATCTGTCTGTCTCCTTTGGAGTCAGTGATCCACAGGAGAGTTAGATCTGCCCGCGCTCTCCTCCAAACCCCACAAGTGGGCAGCCGGAGACCCACATGGCTTCTAAAGTGCACATGTTTCAGGGTCTCTATCAGTCAGGGGGAGGAGCTAATCTTCCAAGGGTCAAGATCATTTCATGTATAAACAGGAGGAAGGGGGCCCTCTTTGGAGCCACCATCTCACATGATAAGGTGACCACGTTAGCAGGAAGTCAGCAACACTTGCTTATCCAGTGGTATGGCAGGGGAAACAGAGAGGTCTACCCCAGGCAGGGAAGCCAGGCTGTCTGGCCTTTGGCAGCTGCAGGTACTCACGCGGTATGTGTGGGGAAGCCCATGGCCAGGAGGGGGTCCAGGAGCGAGGAGGTGTTGCGGCCCTTGAGCTTGTTGGAGACCTTGGCATACAGCTGCGTCTCCCCCGCAGCCATGTCTTCCTGCTTGCTGGGCAAGAGGCGCCTGCTCACTGCAAGGACCAGATAAAGTGAGAGCGGAGAAGGAGGCAGGCTGAGGCTGTGAAGAAAAACCTCAAGTCTTTTTTGATCTTTCTGACACAAGCGAATATCCTGTTTGCACAATGATTGGGCTTGAGTTCTCCCTGCGGGTCCACAGCGGCGTTTTCCAAACCCACCTGTTTTCCACAGCCAGGTCGGCCGTGAAGTTCGTTTTTGGGGTCTGCTGTGTCCGTGGGAAGCATCTGGGAGAAGGAATAACTGAGAAGGTTGAGGGAGCAGAAGTCTGGAACAGGCTTCTCTCATGGATTCCGCTCGGCACCTACCCTGAGCCACCCAGGACCTTAGCAACAACGTCTCCAACAAGACACTGAAGTTTACTGTATGCACTGTCTCTGCTTGCTCTAAAAAAAGTTTAGAAAAACTTTTTTTTTTTAGTTTTTATTGATTTTTTTTTTGAAGTAAGAGCTTTTAAAGTCCAGTACTATGTATGCAGCACAAGGAATTTCTACAGAGTGAACCCATTCTCTCTCCCCCAGGACCGATGAAACAATGACGGAAGACCACGGGCATTTAAGTGTTGCACCCCCCTCTCTAAAGGGACAGTTGGCCGTGTCCGAAGACATCTGTGGTTGTCAAAAATCTGAGAGGGCTGGGGACATGGTGGCAGCTAGTGGATTTCAACCACAGCTGCCACAGAACCCGGGGCAGTCTGTACAGCATGCAGGTTACGAAACCCTGTTCCAGAACTTTCCGTTCTCTTAGAGGATCCGCCCCACTCTGCCTCTTCTGGTGGGTCTCCCCCTCCCCCATAAATCGCCATTACTTTAACCTCAAGTCTCATGCTACTAGAACACTGGAACTCGTGCTATGTCATGGTATGATGAATTCTTGCCTTCTTTCCTTCCTTTCTTTTGTTCATGTTTTTTTCTTTTCTTCTGTTCTCTTCTCTCTCTCTCTCTCTCTCTCTCTCTCTCTCTCTCTTTGTGATGTCAGAGATTGGACTCAGGGTCCTATCCACGCTAGGCAAATGCTCTCCTAAGCTCTTCACATCCTGATTCCTTGCTCCAAATCATGTCTCTGGGACGTATCCATGCTCTTGCACACTCTGTAGTTTGTGCATTGCCATTGCTGAGTAGCATCCTACCAAACGTGATCTTCTTCTTCCGGCTATATCTTTGCTGATGCACACACAGGCAGAGGCGACTGGCTGCCCTCCTGCCAGCAGAGGATGGACGGCCTGGCCCTTTTAGCCCTCTGCTCTGGGTACAGAAGCAAGCATCTCACTGTGCACCGTGGTTGTAATTTGCATTTCATCGAAGGCCCATGATACCAGTGCTGCTTTACAGACCAGCTGGCCCATGGATTGGCCTCTCTGGGGAAGAGTGTACTTGGATCTCTCTGCTAATTTTCCTCCTTGGGTTGTCAGTTTTGCTTTTTTTTTTTTTTTTAATCACTCTGTGGAAAGTCTGGTTGGCATTTTCTGCGCCCCATTTCAGAAACTGTTGTTTTTCTGCATCAGTGAACACGGTGTCTTCCTCTCTGTCCTAGAAGGTTTGCTGGAGCTGCCATTCCTGTTTAGCTCGGTGTCAGTTAGAAACCATTTTGTGTATAGTGTGAGGGCTGAAGGGTCTCTGTTTTCCCGTTGACAAGACCAGGACACGGCAGCGTATTGTAGCCACATGACTGACTGACAGATGTAGTTTGCTTCTGGCTCTGACGTATTCTCTTGTCTGATTTATTCATTTCTGTGTTCCTCCTTTAGTTGCTGTGGTGTTGGAGGGCTCTGGTTTTGTGTCTGTGAGACGGTTCTTCATTCTTAGCTTTTTAAATATAAATTCAGAGAGCAGGCTGCAGTTGTATCACGGAGGGTGCAGATGCCTCTCATTTACGTCAGCCAACTGTCACTAATCGGACACTGTGATTCCCTGGGAAGGGCTGTCCTTTCTCTAGCAATGCCCGGGGACTACACAGCTTGTATAGAGCTAATTCAAAATGGAGGACGGGCTTAAGTGTAAAACCCGAAACTTCAATCATCCCAAAGAAAGCCTAGAAGAAAAATGTATGTTGTGTTTTAGGTTATAGAACTTTCTTAGGGCATAACAAGCTTAATCCATGATCTTTTCTTGTTCCACTTCATCAAAGTCGTAAACGTCTACTGCTTGAAAAGTATGATAAAGAAAACAAAAGAAAAGGTAAGCCACAGCGTGGGAGAAAATGTTCCCCGCCTACACTCTTGGTCTGAGACCCAGAATATACAGTGTGTGTGTGAAGTGTGCGTTCTGACAGCTAACTAGAGCACCAATAAGCAAGTTTAAAATTGGGAAACTATCTAAATGACGCCTGGTGAAGACACGGGAGCCGCTGTGAGAGGGATCCAGCCTCGTTCACAACCGGAAGATGAAAATAAAGACCGCAGCACATTTCCCCAGCGCCAGCTAGATTTGGCGCTCAAGTCAAAAGGACCGACAAGGTCAACCTTCAGCAAAGCGAGGGAACTCTTAAAACAGCCCGTTACTGAGGTCGTGATTTGTCCAACCCCTTCGGAAAAACACGTTGACGCAGCGTCTTATAAAGGTCAGCCAGCTTACATTGACTACATGATCTTTTCTGATCTGAGATTTTACCAGGGAAAAGTGAAAATGTGTGTCCAAACAAAAACCCATCTTTAAACGTCCTTGGTGGCTTTATTCACCGTAGTCCCTAACGAGAAATGATCCAAATAGTCCAAGCGAGATCCATCCGCGAACAGACGTGCGGAGGTGTGAGTTCAGGGAGCGGTGCTTATCCGCAGGAAGAACCACAGCCCTGCTTCCTGCATCATGACGGAACAGACAAGAGCCCATCCTGCTGAGTGCCAGGGCAGGCGCCATCACACTGGCTGCCTGGGTCTATTTAAATGCCATTTTAGGCGAGATACGTTAGCTACAGTTTCAGAGAGCTGATCAGTGGTTGCCTAATATAGGGTGGGGTGAGCTATGGCCCGAGAGACCTGACTGAGTGGTTTCTGTACAAGTGTCGTTTTTTGCAGGACTACCAAATCGAGTATTTAGATGGGTATATTTCAATAAAACTGATTTTAAGAAAAATAAAGAAGTGAAAGTAATGCTAAAGACAATAAAAACAAATGCATTATTTTTTTCCTTGCCAGAAACAATCTGTGAGGTTAGATTGAATCTGCAGGTCATTTGAAAGAGAACTGACATTTTCATAACATTATGTCTCCAATTCCCCGAATAGAGGTTTTTTGTTTTTTGTTTTTTGTTTTTTGTTTTTTGTTTTGTTTTTTCGAGACAGGGTTTCTCTGTGGCTTTGGAGCCTGTCCTGGCACTAGCTCTGTAGACCAGGCTGGTCTCGAACTCACAGAGATCTGCCTGCCTCTGCCTCCCGAGTGCTGGGATTAAAGGCGTGCGCCACCATCGCCCGGCATCCCCGAATAGAGTTTATCTCTCTACTTAATTTCTCCCAGTAGTGTTCGAAATTTTCAGTTTATTTTCTTAATTAAAAATATTTTATGATTTTTTTTTGTGTGGACATGTCTGTTGTCTACCTGTGAGTGTGCACATGTCATGGCTTTGTGTGGAGGCCAGACGACCAGGTGGTAGAGTTGCTTCTTCCTCTCCATCTTTGTGCAGGTTCTGGAGATCAGACTCAGGTTATAAGGGCCATATGACAAGTACTTTACCCATCAAGCCATCTCCTGGCCCCTTCATTTATGTTTTTGATGCTATTATAAATTATTTATCTATATAGCCTATATAGGTGTATATTTGATACAGGCTTTTATATAGCTCAGGTTGGCATTAAACTCATTATACAGTTAAGCATGTCCTTGAACTCCTGATCCTTCTCCCTCTACCTCCCAAATCTGTGGAGTTTAGGAGTGTACCACTGTGACTGGTTTTAGGTAAATATATAATCTTCATATGTATGGTTATTTTTGCCTGCACACATGTATGTGCACCATATGCATGTCTGGTGTCCATGGAGGCCAGAGGAGGGCGTCAGACGCCCTGAAAGTGGAATAACAATCAGTTGTGAGCTACCATGGTAATGTAAACTACCGTGTGGGTTTTGGGAACTGAACCGGGGGCCTCTGGAAGAGTAGGCAATGCTCTTAACCACGGAGCCGTCTCTCCAGCCCCCTGTAAACGATACTTTAAAACACTGTGTATGGCAGCGGTAGAGAGGCACAACCGGTTTTTGTATGAGGAACCCACATTCAAAGATCTTGCTGAGTTTACTTATCGCTCCTAGAACTCCAGAGATCCTTCTGCATTTTCTACGGACATAATATGACCTGATCTCCAAATACCAGCGGCTTTCCTCTTCCTTTCGAATTGTTGTAATATTTGGGCTGTATATGATTATACTATACCTTAATCTGACATATTATTTCCAGTGAAGGCAAAAGTGGGCTTCTCAGTGCTAAGTCAATCTTGTTTCCTAAGGTTCATCTTCGGGTCTTAACACACTTTTATATAAACATAGATACTAATGCACGTGTGCATTTATGCATTTTACTATTGGTGGATTCAGAGTGCTAACACTCGATTAAGGGACTCTGTATCAGTGTTTGTGAACTGGCTTGACTGGCTACTTTTTTTTTTCTAAGACAGGGGTTCCCTTTTTTTGTTTGTTTGTTTGTTTTTCCCCTTTCTTTTTATTTAGTCAATCTGTCTTTCACATCAGCATCTTGGTCCCGTTCATTTCTCCTTCCCTTCACATCTGCCTGCTGCCCCTGCTACCCGCAACCACCCCTCAAATAAAACAAAATTTAAGAGGAAAAAAGGAAAAAAAAAAGTCTCGTCATGGAAGTTGCCGTGTGACCAGTAAGTCACGCAGTAAATCCCTTTACTTGCCTGTGATTGTTGCAAAGACTCCAAGCTGCAGGATCTCACAGCACAGGGAACAACAGGATGTCCAAAAAGAGTCTCAGTGAGGGCCCAGCACTGATGGCATAGTAGAAACCAGAGGCCTGGAACCTGATCAGGGTTTCTCTTTGTGACAGTTTGGCTGTCCTGGAACTCA